CGTTGCCCTTACCTGTGAACAGGGGACTCTGGTTGCATGTAGCACCTGTGCCCGGGACCGATGGCAGTGACGGATCCTGGCACCAGCTCCATCGCCCGGGACACTGACATCCCACGCCCCAGCCGGGGGCACGGGGAGGAAAGGAATGAGCGAGACCAAACAGCCAAGGGACAGACAGAAGAGAGAAACAAGGGAAAAGGGAGGACCATACTTGGGACTCAAAGGTGCACTGACCTTTGTGTGGCCGAGCTGTGGGAAAGTGGAAAAGGCAAAAGCTGTTCTCTCCCAGGGCTCCTGTTCCCCTCCAGCCCTATTAGGCATCAGTGATGAGTATCTGGGCACTGAATTTGGCTCACCCTCCATTAAGGGGGTGGCGAGCCTATGGTGGCCAAGGGGCTTCTCAGGCCCTGAGGATCCAGAGGTGTTTAGTCGCTGGAGCCCTGCTGGGCTGTGGCCCAATCCCCCAGGTGAGCCTGATGAGGTTGCCCCAGCAGGAGAGGCAGTTTAGGCAGAGCCTAGGCTGGGACAGAACACAGGACAGTGCTGGTGACTCAGGCAGGTGTCACCTTTCCCCAGGATTGCTGCTTCCACGGGACTGGTGCTGTGCTGCCAGCTGCCCTCTCCAGCCCTCTCTAGCCAGGGAAGGGCTGGCAGGGATCTCTGCTCCCAGCTGCCAGAGCAATCCGAGAAGGCAAAGCAAAACTATTCTAGGCCTGAGGATGCCCTTCTCACCCTCTAGCAGATATTTAAAACAAGAAACAAGAGCAAGAAGAATCAGTGTGAAGTACCAAAAAAACCTTTATTTTTTCCCCCAAACCATAACATTTGACATTATATTGATTTCCTCATATATTTGTTATTTCTCTACATTAGGAACCAGATACAGAAAATACAAACACGATCTGTTGAATCAAAGACGGCACAGCATTCCGTTAGAAAAAGAAACAAAAAAACTAGAGGAGCAAGATAGAAATGGTGAAAAACAGTCATTCCCTCCAGCCCAAACTTTCCAAGAATCATCATCAAAATAGAGCAGTGGAAGTAGCTTCTCTTTCTAAACACACTTCTGCTTTAAGACAAAAGTTAGATTTATCTTTAGATTTTCAAAGTAAAAAAATGTTAAACTATCTTTCAAGCAATTTTGGAAGTTTGCATAGACCCATTCCCTTTCCAAAAATATCAGCCATCTCTCTATAGAATCTGATACAAATCGAGTGTGCCTCAGCCGAAGGTCACCAAGCTCAATTCACTTTCAAGAAAATAAAACGTGATCTCCCTTTCCCCTCCCTCCCCCCACAAAAATATGGGCTCTACCGTTATCCCGTGTGTTTGAGGCAAGTTCCCAGGCTCACCGGCATCCCTCGCTCAGAGCTCCACCCAAATTCCTTTTCATTTCCCAGGTTTCCACGCCCGCTGCCTCCCGGCGGGGCAGAGGCGCTCTGGAGGCAGCGGGATGGGAGGGCGCAGGGAGAGGGGGCTGATGGACACAGCTCTCAGGAGGGAAGTGGGAGGAATTTTGCATTCATCAATCCCTCCCGCAGCGAGGAAGTGGCTTTTCAAGGACAAACACCTGCGACCAGGCAGAGTTTGTAGGAACTTGTCCCTGGGGACTGGCCTTGTCCAAAGGGCTCAGTCACCAGAGCAAGAACTCAGCTAGAGACCAGGTGGGGCAGCAGGGATGGGGCAGGAGGGGTGGAGGGGGGTCTGCAGCCCCCGGGTAAGGCAGCGAGGAGGGGAGGGGGAGCCCCTCACCAGGAGGGGGTTCACTGTGGTGCTCTAGCGTACCTGGAGTGAGGTTTTCCCAGAGGTTCCTGGCAGCAGTGCAGAGACCAGCTGCACTGCCACCTGCTTAAAAAGAAACAGCAACGACAAAATAAATAAAACGTCAACCCCTCCTATTCAGATGAGAATGAAATACTACTTCTTCAGGCCTCCACCTGGTTTGGAACCCTCTAAAAACTGAAGCAAAAGTTTAAAAGGGCTTGTTAAACTTTCTGCAGGGGGCAAAGTGATGTGGCAACGAGGGGGGGAGAAATCACACGCCTGCTGCCCATCACTGCAAGGGTCAGAACAGCACAAGGCCCCCATTTAAAGTGCTGACCATACAAAAGATGATGATGAGGGAGCAACATCCTTCTCCCCCTTTTCCCATCACAATTTCCAACTGAAATCCATCTCCTTCACCAACTAACGACTAAGCCTATTCTTCTGGACACTCAGTTTTATATTGGTTTAAAAAAAACAGAAAAAAAGTTAGTAAAAAAGTTACACTGAATTTCCTAACGCTTTGCAATGTGCTTCCACCAACTAAAGGTCTAGAAAACAAGAGCAGAGCCCACACGTTTTGCCTGATCCTGAGACTGAAGCAGAGAGCCAGCTCTGCTCCTCAGGGCCAGCCAGGCATGAGCAGCCCTGCTCGTCAGCATCAGAGACCCAGGGGATGCAGAGTCTTGCCAATAAGGTCCTTTAATTTGTTTAAGTCACCTCTGAATCCCCTGAGAAGGGGAACAATGTGGGGAAGAACATTCCCCCCTAAGCCCCCCTGAAATAAAATATCAATGAAACAATAATGCAGTCAAAAAACACCAGCCTGCTGGGTTTGTATAAAAAAAAAAATTCCATAAACTTCACAACAAAAAAGAAAAACCCAAAAGAAACTAGCTAGCGGTTTGGGTCTGGAAAATGATTCACTTCCTAAATGTTCAAAGTCCAAGGAGGAACAGGCAGCAGCGATGCCACAAGGAAAAAAGTGCTCACGAGATGCAGGTTCCTGAGGCAGTGGTGAGTGTGTGGGACAAGTGACCCCACAGCCACCACCTCGGGTGCCCACGGCTGCCTAGGGACTGCTGGGCATTGCTTGTGCTGGAGGCACAGCAGGAGCTCTGCATGGGATCTACAAATAGGAACAGACTGCTCCTTCCTCCCTCCAGATCTGCTCCAGCTGCCCCAGCTCCATCTGTGCTGTGCCAGGCTGGATGACTAGGACTACTTACTCACTCAAAACCAGGGGCAGGAGAGCTAAAAAGCCACACAAAGACCAGGATCTGTGGAGGCACTAATGTGGAGACAAGGAAGAAATACCCTATGAGACACAGTTACCAGAAATGCAAGCAGTGATGTGCCAAGCCACAGGAAGAGAAGCCAAAGACATGCCCAGGTTGGCCACAGTGATGCAACAGAGCAGGTTATGCCTCTGCCAGCCTGGGAAGAAGAGACCAGTGCTCTCAAAAGCTCACTTCTCCTCTTGCTTTGCTGGGAAGATACTCCTCCCTCTGTCCCACTGATTTCGTGACATGCCGAGCTGCCAGTGCCTCGGAGCAGCCGACTCTTGCCAATGGAGGCCAGAAGAATGCCCTGGGATCCCAACTGCTCTGACAGTGACTGCCATTGTTTTTCATGGGAACAGAAGCAAAGCAGCAGAAGTGAGCTGGGTTTTGGCCTCTTTCCTGGCTTATGCTTGCTCCTTTCAAGTCCTGGCTGGATCTGATTTCCTGAGGGGCTTTGTTGGCCCCTGGGGAGCAGCCAGACCCTCGGCTCTGCACTGCATCCACAGACAGGGCAGAACAGCCACTGCTGTCCGAGCCTCCTTCTGCCCTCACCCTGACCTGAGCAGACGGTCAGGCCAGGCCTGGCTTTCTGGCACTGCCCCAGGGAGAGAGAAAGACAAGCAGTTCTCTCCTTCCTGCAGACACGTGGCACCCCAGGAACAGGGCAGGATGCTCAGCAGCCTGCAAGTGAGTGCCAAACCTACCCAGGCTGAATGAAGAGATCACCATTAAAAAAACCTAGCGAGTGTGAAAGAGCTTTTGTTCTAGACAGTCTCAAAAATCCAACACTTTTTCCTTACATTAAACCAAACCAAGGTGTTGTCTGTATCCCCTTTTTACCCTAATTCAAATTTAATTCCCTTTGAAGGGAAAGAGTGGAAAAGATGCATATCCTATATGTGGTCTGTCCAAACACAGAAAGAAACCTCCTGACTCAGAGAGAAACCACCAAAACAGAGTAAGCAACTGTATAGTTTTACCACACTGCTGAGCACCCTTCCCATGCAGCATCCTTAGCTAGAAGGGGGAAAAAAAAGCTAAATCAAGGCCCTTTCATTCCTTGTTTCTCATTCTGCCAGATTCCCTTTTCCAGTAGCTCATCTGCATGCATTCTGGCCAAAGAGACCACAGTTAATGCTTTTTTTTTTCTCCTTTAAAAGAGGCTTTACAATAACTAAGAATTTGAACAATGTGATCAGTTACAAGTCTTCCCTTGCTGAACAGGATGAGTGTGTGCCTGTACACACACACAAGTGTCAGAGGGGAGCCAGGTCCCAGAGTGTGGAATTGCTCCAAGGGCATGGCTGCTGAGTGCTACCACAGTACACTGGCAAAAGAGGAATGGGCACTACACAGAAATAGCTTATCAGCTGAGGGGCTCTGTACAGGGAGGGCTGCAAGCACAGCCTGCTGCTGGCCCACAGCTGGGAACTGCCCAGATCCTTGCTGGCAATTCAGCTGCCAGGAGAATCTCCACGTGGGAGCTGAAAGGGATCAACATCTCTGCCACACACTGCAAGGAAAAGTGTCAAACAACTGCAGAAACCAAACCCAAAGAAGAACAATTGAAAGATCAACCAGAGAACAGTTTGAAGCCTTGTCAGAAGAGTTCACTCACCACAGAGCAGGTCAGAACAGCTGCTGTGGCTAATGCAGCAGCAAACACTCATTCTACCCTTGAAGGCAGAGACAGTAGCTTCTCCCCAGCCCCAGAAGGAACCAGCTCAGGCACAGATCTCTGCTGACAAGGCAAGAAAGCCCAAGCAACACCAAATCCCTTACTGGCCCAGGCCAAGAGAGGCAATCGACATCACCACCACAACAGAGAGACCACTGCAGTCAACTGCATCCAGCTCTGGCCCAGGGAAGGGCTGTCAGACAAGATTCTTTTCACAGTTCAAGAAAGGCAGTTCCCTTCCTGAGCCAATGAAACAAGAAAAAAAAAAAAAAGGCTTTGTATTCCAAACTCCAACAGGACTACTTGCTGAATCAGTCCAGCAAACACAGATTATACTCCTGGAATAGTGAGAAGATGCCTCCTCCAGGTAAAATCTGTAACCTCTAAAGTGCTCCTGCTAATGCTAGCTGATGAACACCCCGTTCCATGCCCAGCAGTGGAAGGGCTGCTGCAGTCAGTGGTGTGATGAGCACTCACATTTAACCGTTCACCAACTCCCAGCTGGATTGCGGTAGTTTTCTGAAATGCACTTTTGGGAAATATTTCCTATGAGAAGATGTTGTTTGGAGATGTGAGGATAGGAAGGTGAAGTGTACACCACAGCATACCTTGTTCAGTAAAACCACTGCCTTGGGAGGTGATGTTCCCTTGCAGAGTCAATGGAATAAAGCATCCTGCAAGTGGCCGTGTCACCGTGTCCCCAACGAGCAGCTCTGGGTTTGGTTAGAATGGTTTCCCCCACCCCCAGTGGTCTGAAGAGTTCACAGTGGTATTAACCCAATGTTTTGGGGAGACAGAAACTGAGAAGTCTCCTGCTGCAAGTGAATGGGTGGAATGAGGGATGCAGATGAGCAATATCCTCTGGGACTAGCCCAAGGATAAGCCCCACAGACACCTTGTGCCTGAGCAGGAACAGGGGGAAGGCATGCACTGGAACGACCAGGAAGCAGAGAAGGACAATGCCAATGCAGGGAAAGTGCATGTTCTGGAGTGGTCTTGGAGTAGTTCTGCAGTGCAAACATATGGGGAGGGGTGTGGAGAAATCCCTTCTGGAATGCTGCATGAAGAGAGGTAAAGGTTGGCATCCATGTGGCAGCGGACTGGGTAGGGGGCCTGTGTCCAGCAGCTCTACCCTGTTCTTCACATTTAGTGGGTTTCAATCACCACTGGCTCGTAAACTCCAGATGAGACCCTGAGGAGGCAGAGGGGGAGAGGGGCCAGTTATTTTTCACAGTCATTCTGAGCAACCAAGTTTTGATTCAAAGCTCTCCACTCTCAAACATCTTCTAAGCCCACACAGAACACTGCCAGTAACGAGTCAGCCTTGTGGGAAGTTCAGTCCTTGGAACACTAAGGGGACAGTGAGGTGGCAAATCAGCAGCAGAGCACTGGAGAGAGCTGGACGTGACACACAAACCCTTCCAGAGGACACAGCAAAGGGGGAGTATCCCATCCAGAACAAAGAGCCAGCGTGCCTGGCTTTGCTGTGCTCCCGGCTTTGTCACCAACTCGATACATCTTTGCATTACCATTACTGCTCCTTTTAACTGAAAAGATGAAATACAGCCTCAAACGCAACTGGCCAAGAGCTGCACTAAGAGCTATAGTGGAAAGAAAAAGTTTAATTGCTTCAGAAGGCTTTAATGAGAGAACAATTATGGAAGAGGCAGGGAGAAGGGACAATAAACCCTGCTCTGCCGCAATTTTGCTGCAGGCCAGCAGGAGGCAAAGCTCCCTCCTTCAGGAACAAACGGGAACCAGCCTCTACCATTTTGTCCTTTCACTCCTCACTTCTGTTCCTGGGTCTAACAACCAGGATCCCATTATCCCTCTGTGCTCCTGCTGAGAACTGCATTCATACTCTAGTGCAACTGCAGCCTGGCACCAAAGGGATGCCAGGGCTGTTAATGTGGGAATAAAGCCACCATGTAGTACAAGATGTTTAGAAATTTCTCCCGTAGCAAAAAGTGGAAGTTTCCTAGGTACAGAGCCCAGTGATCTCTCTGGAGCCCCTCTGTGTGCCAGCCTTTTGGGAAACCTACCTGTTTCCCAGCTGAATACCGCTCAGCGTAGTTGTTCCGTCTCTGCTCACAAACAACCTCAGGTTACTGTCTGCAGACAGAAAAGGAAGAGACATCAAAATCCAGAAGTACCGAGGCTGCCAGGAACTCCCCTCCCAGACACACAATCAGCATAGGACAAGTGTGTCTCAGCAGATGCACGTCCACACTTTCTGGTGATGTTCCCACAGTCATCAAGCCCCTAGGAACTCCTTTCCTTGCTCCAAAAGGGAGCCTCCACAACACAAAGCTTTGGAAGAATAAAGGCAGAGATATTAATTCAGTCATACTCCTCCAGCTGCCTCTTTTAAGGCAATTCCATTGATCCAAGTTCTTGGTCAACTTATACACATCTGAACAGATGAGACGTGGGGCCTCTCACTGCTTCTGTAGAGTCACTGGAGGAGAAACTCAGCCTGTTCTGCTGGTGAGAGGTAACTGCATTTAGTCTAGCTCTAACCCACACTGAAAGAGGTGTAATTCCCCACATGATAAGAGTGCTGCCATGTGCAACAATTTAAGGTGACTAATGGTAAATTAATGAAGCACAGATAACAAGCTAGGTTCGAGTTTAAAATTTAACAGAAAGCCTGAGACAAAAAAAAAAAAGATTAAACATTGATTTCTATGCTAAACTGGAAAGTGAAAACAAAAGCAGTTACATAATTAGTTTTCTCCCAACAGATGCCATGACTGCAATGGAGAAAACCCCTTCTAAAGCTCTCTGAAAGACCTGATCACCAGCACATGGTAACCCATGTTTCTGTAGACATGTGCTACTTCCCCTCCACTTGTGCTCTCTGCTTTTGATAAATACCCTTGGCCTGACCCTGGACCAAGGCCATTAGAACAGTGGAAACAGCTGATGCAACTGATCTTCACTGAGCTGAGAATCAGTATTTTTCCTCTCTCTCCCTGCATGTTTGAGCTACTTTTCAATCTCTGCTGTCATGTGTGGAACAGCAGCAAATGCTATCTGTAAATACATGTGCAGTGCTCAAACCCACGTGGTTTATCTACCACAGAAACACCCAGCAAGCACTGAAAGCAAACAGCTGTCAAAAGGAGAAGAGAGCCCATGGCAGATCAGATCTGACTGTAAATGCTTGGCAGCCTTGCGAAAGGAACAACCCAGACATCCCCTCTGAGGCTTCTCCTCTCACCTTCAGTATTGCTGACATCTGTGAAGTCCTGACTCTGCATTATTTTCTCCACTATATCATCAGCATCGATCCTGGTGTCATCCACTCGGGTTGGGTGACTCTCCATTGAATCCTTTTTCCTCCTGGCAAGAGGAAATACAGGAAAAACTTACTCAGCTTTTCAAGACACAGACTTCTACACACTGTCTTGCTTGTCCTTCTCAGTAGCCACCATCTGATCCACTGTTGCCTGAAGACAAAGGAGCAGGTTGTGTCTCTCCTCGCCAGAGAAAGGTCTTTGCTCTACTGTTACTCACCGGGAGGGTCTGTCCAGCAGGAGGGGAGGTCTGGGGGGGCGAGGTGGCTTCTCCAGTTTGTGTTCCCGCTCCCCCTCGGGATACTCCACGGTCATGCTGAGCCCCCCGGACGCGCTGCTGCTGGTGGAGGTGTTCCGGCGGTGCGTCAGGTCTGACATGCTGGAGGAGCGGGAGTGCTCCGTGCTGTAACCTGCCAACACACAGGGGTTACAATCCTCATCTGCTCCCCTTCCTGGCAGCACAGCTTCACAGCAGCACTTGTGCTCCTGCACACAGAGCTTTAGACATCTATGAGCTCATCTGCAGAGACTGAACAGGAGGCTGGTATTACAGCGCAGGGTGAGAGAGATGGCTGCAAATCACTCTCACAGGAGCTTGTTGCAGGAAGGAAAAGGGATGGCAGAGCTGGGGATCAGTGGTTACCGGAGATCTTGGACTGCTGGCTGGCGTAGCTCGAGTTCCGTGAGTGCCCTGAGTGGAAAACTTCCTCTGGGCTGGACAGGTTCTGATCCGACTCTTCTGGGACACCTGCCATGGAAAAGAGGACACTGCTGACACTGTAACCAAGCCAGCACACGGTGCACTGATCAGCTGGAAGAGGAGGCTGATCTTGGGATGATAGATAAAGGAAAGGGCAGTCTACTGGCCAGAGCCCTATTGTACAGGCCAGCACAGGGCTTAGAAACACCCAGGGAACTAGGGAAGACCACAGTGAGCTTCTCTATCAAGTTTATCACTATTTCTACCCAGCACACGAATTTACAAACATCTCTGGGGACTTGTAGCATTTAGAAGGACAAAGTGTCTGAAACTATGCATAGTTAAAAGCATGAAGCTAAGGCCAAGTAAGCATCAAATGGCCACTGGCAGTAAAGTATTTCAGCCTCTGCTTGGGTGCTTCTGTTACTACCTTTCCCTTTCTATTACCTGTGAGAGAGCCTGTGCCATTTAAATAATCTCTGAATTTGATACGAACACTTCAGCATAACCCCTATTCATCTCTCTTGCAGGAAGCTTATCCACAAGTGCACAAATGTAACACATTAGCCAGCTTTATAAGAACAACACTTGCAACCACGTGCTCTGTCACTGAGGGGATGAGACTCAAGTGCTATTTTGGTGCAGTGTATCTGCCTGCACATTTGGAATGTGCTGGGAAGGAAAAAAACTGATGTGAAAATGCAGCGCCCTTGAAAATGGGCTCATACAGAAGCCAAAGAACTGCATCAGCAGCTGGAACAAGGCCACTAGACCTTAAACCAACCTCTAAAACCTTCAGAGGAACTTTTCTAGAAGATAAGTCTGAGCAACAGAACAGCTGAGTGCAGAACAATGGTAAGTGTCATTGAGCACACTGGAAAGCAGGGATGAGTGCAGTGCATGAATTATTAAATCCCCAGCAAAAGAACAAATTGCTTTATCTCCACTAACAGAAATACACATGTGGCAAATATTCAGCCGCCTTCTCCTCAGTTACACTTAGATGGTTTTGTTATTCTCAATATTCTTAATGAGCAACGGGGTTGTGGATGGGTGCAGAAAAACATGAAAAATTAAAGAGTTTCTGTGCTTGCAGCTGCTGGGAAAAACAAAGGAGTGTCCAGGCATTGCATGGCTGCAGGGTGGGCATTCAGACCTGAGCTGAGAATGGCAGTTCTTGGCTTGCTCTGGCGCAGGGAGCCAATTGTGGAGGAACTGCTGCTGCTGGTGGTTCCCTCGCCCTTGCAGGTCAGCTGCAGAGTAGAGTCCTGCCCCGGGATGGTGATGGATTTGGCAGTGGAAGGAGGCCTGAAATCAGAAGGGAAGGAGGTTACAGACTGCCAAGCAGGGAGCATGCATCATTCTGTCCATCTCACCCTTCTGAGCAGGGGAAAGCTGGCAGCCCTCTGGCCAACAGCTCAAATGAGATGTTCGGTTTTGTTTTCCTACATGCAAGAGTGATGTCTTCCCTACCTTGGACTGTATTACAAGAAAAATCAAGTTTTTGAGGTAAATTAAAAGGCAAAAAGGGACCATTCATTCATTTATACAGGACAACAAGCTCAGAACTTGCACTGTCCTCCAGGACACCATCCAGAGCTGCCCTTTCATCCCCAAAACGTGTCCACTGCCAGCTGGCTTTACAAACAGGAACCAGTTTGCTGTTGTCCCACTCTCAATTCCAGCTTCCTTTCTCTTACACCTCTTTGGCCAAAATGAAACTTTTTATCCCAGCAACCCTGTTCCCCTATATGAGGACTTTTACAACAATCAAATAACCTTTCCCTTTTTAAACTGACTATTAAACTTTTCAGTGAAACTGAAGTGTTTTTCCAGCTGCCTGAATTATTTTTCTGGTTATTCCATGATCTCCCAACATCCCTTTGTAAACGCTGACTGCAGGGCAGAGCTGTGAGTGTCTGGAGCCCCCTCCCTTCCTCCAGAAGTGCTTTTGGGTGAAAGCCACAGCATGTGCAGCATGGCAAAATGAATATTCCTGTTGGAGCCCTAACCTCCCTATAGCCCTAAGTCTGAACTGGAACTAAAGGATCATATTATAGTTTTTAAGTGAGGAGTGAGAAATAAAATCTTTGTCTCACTCAGAGCTCTGAGGGAAGATGTTACATGAGAGGGGATCTTGGCAGTATTTTGGAAGAGAGAATATTTAATGCTGGCAGCGGAATGGCTATAAAGCTTTCAGGAAACTCACAGCATGTCTTCACCAGGAAGAAAACCTCCCTAATCACCTTATCAGTGATTTGCATGCACACAGGTGCTTTGGAGGCTTTGCTTCACAGGTTTTTAAGGCTTTTACAGCCTTAAGCAAGCAAACTGTTCCTGCAGCAGCTGTGGGAGCAGCCCCTTGGTCAGCTCAGCTGCTCTGCCCCTTCCAACAACCCCAGCAGAAGGTTCATGGAGTGCTGCAAAATATCAGTGCTTGGAAGTGATTTCCCAGCACAGTTTAATTCCTGAGTGTCATTTACCAGAAGCTCTACTGATCAAGGACTATTCCACATGCAAAGCTTCTATTTTTAGATATTTGCACATCATCAACATAAAAGGGAAAAGTGGGAATGACTGCAAAAATCCTTCAAGAAAATTAGGAGGTTTGACTTGCAGACTGAACCTACTTACATTAAATGGATATTTATATCCTATTCTGTGCAATTTTCAGGCATTCTAACAGTGGGATTTGCTTCCATTGCAAGGAGCAACAGGTTTTTTTTCAGACATTATTACAAAACATCCTAGTACCCTAGACTTAAAACATCTGTTACTTCTATGAAGTTATGGTTTAAGAGATTCAAAATTTCTTTATTACACTGCCTTCTGAAGCAGAATTTCTTCAGAATCAGATGACACTGATTTTGGGTTTAAAAGTGTCAGAAAATACTGCAGCACTATGAAAAGCCTCTCACAAAACAAACCTACCAAAAATGATACAGCATTTTTAACAAGAATTTGAACTAATTTATACATTCTAAGCTAGCTCCTAAAATTAGATCTTTTAGCCCAGAATACAACTGCTACAAGAGTTAGCCGCAAGGTAAAGCTTTCTTCTCTCATACTCTTGGGAGGCAACATGAAATATTCCTTTGGGCACATGGCAGCCCTGCTGTGTAGTCACACACCTTCCAGTACACCACAGCAGGGCTGGGACTGTGATGCTGCACTGTGGTGTGAGGGAAGATGTGGCCAGAATATTCACTGATTCACCAACAAATCTTTAAACAGCAAAACTGCTCCACAGCCTAACTGTACTTATTCTTTCCTACCATTATGCATTATAAAAAAACCACACATTACTGCAATTTCTCTGCTAATTAATACAAGTTGTGAGCCCTGTAGAAAAAAACAATTAAAATGATTCAGCCTCAAAATATTTTTGTTGCTGTTTCCATCTGAGATCTTTATCCCCCATGATATGTGCTGAAGCGTGTCCACTTCCAAGACTGTTTTCTATATTGACCTTTCTCCTCTTAGAGGTCAGTGAAACCAAGCCCAGAGCCATGAGAAATTCTATCCTTCAGGCAAAACATGAAGTTTGTAATCAAAATCTACTGGTTTGAAAAACCTAAGTTGCACCAGCAGGAAAAACACCGTGCACAGCAATAATCAAAGCTGGGAAAGGCAGAGCAGAGAAAAACCAATTAACAGCACAGGCTGGCTATGCTTTCCTGGCTGATTCAACCAGTTTTACTGTACTTCCCAATATCAAGGGCATCTTTTCCCCTCTCTTCATCAATTTTAATGTCTGCCCAGAACGGGTACACCCAGGAACTCACGTTTTGAAGCAGGGGTCCCCAGAGAGCAGGGACATTCCGATGGTGACCTGGAGAGGGGACACAAGGCACATCATTAGCCATGCTGCACTGAACTCCTCACTTCACAACAGCCAGGAGGTCAAGGGCTAGGTGTAAAGATCAGCCAGATCTAGCTCCTTTCCCAAGAAAATCAGCTTCAGGGATTTAGCAAAGTATTCCACCCCCTGTCCCAAATCCTTGGCATCAGTTACTCCAAGTGGCAGTGGCTCAGCAGGACACCAGCTGGGCCACACTAACAATGCCTTCTAACAACCTTTCCCCTCCCTCCTGTTCCTGGCTTCTTTGTCAAGGGTCACTGCTTGGCCAAATCAATGCCAAATTATCAAAGGGCAACTCTAATAATAGGAAACTTCCCAAGTCAGTCTAGCAGCATAAAAGCAAAATCCTGTCTCTGTAGATAACAGGACCTTCTCTCAGGCCTGGCAGGGCACGGTGATCGCCATAAAATCCTAAGCAGAATTTCTACTGTGTAAGTTCTAGCTGTTGTACCTTTAGGATGGAGTTGTCCTGTCGGGTATTCTTGGTATCATATCCTTCCAGCAAGCAGCAACGAACAGTGGATCCAGAGCCTGCAAATTCTGCCAGATTTAGATCAGCAAAGCCCAGCTGTAGCCAAGAAAACAATGGAGGGGAAGGTAAGAGATCAGACATTACTCCATAAATGGATACACAGTGTCACACAAACCAAAGGGAGAGAACACATCTGTGAGCAAGGGCAGAAACAGGAGGCAGGACACAGAGTGGTGGCTGTGAAGATTGCCTGGTCTTGAGGATGGAAAGGGTCACATTCCTAATCCCAAGCTAGATGGACACTTGGAGGTCGCCTTCAGGAAGCCAAGTCCACACGGAGGAAAGGTGTACAGCAGTGCTGGTGGCCAGGACAGTGTTAACCAGCCTGCAGCCATTGCATAACCAAGGACATGGAAGGCATTAGGTCAACAATGTGGAAAAAACAGAATCACACATACACAAACATAATAAGGCACTCTTTGTATCGGGCCATCCCAGAATGCAGTGGAGCATGTGAACCAGGAGATGAAAGGATATTGTTACAGGGGAAAGTGACACCATCCTGAAAAAAAAACAAGTGAGACTATGGGCACGGGGAGCTGGAGGCCCAGAGCCATGTGGGACTGCCTTGCCTCACCCCTCAGAGGCAGCTGCTGGGCTGGGCAGCTCCTGGGGCACTCCTCCACAACACTGCTAAGGTTTAACTAGCAAGGGATTTGTTTGAAAGGCAGAAGGGAAGAGAAATATTTGAAGAGATTTAGTTGTGAGCTCTATAAACCTTCTCTAACAAATGGGAAGCAAACAGGGAAGGTGACAAAGCTGAAGATCACACGCATTTTCAAAAAGGGCACTTATACCTCCAGAGTAAATACAAACACAATGTAGAGCACCTTTGTTTTCCTGCCCTAAATCCCTGGTGTATTAACACAGTGTTTCAAAGAAAGTTACAGCTTCTTTTATGCACAGCCTTAGGAACAGAAGGCAGTTGTGAGCCATCTCATCTGATCAGGAGAACATACTGTACTCGGTATGTGGCCAAAGCATCCAGGCGTGGAGCATCTGCGTCACATCAACAACAGGTCAGCTCCCAGGGGAACAGGGAGCACAGGTGGAGCAGCAGCAGGTCCTTCTGTGCTCTGCAGCACATCCCTTCTGCCCTGCTGCTGACAGCTGGATGACACAACTGAACAGAGTGCCCCAGCAGTAGCACCATCCTATGGAACCGTGGTGCCTCTGTCAGCTGAGGAAGCTGATAGAGAGTCAGAGCACAAAACAGTCACTGCCAGAGGAACCCTGGCTTCTACTGTTCCAAGCCAAGAATCACAGTCTGCTCAAGGTACATGATTGAGGGGGAAACAGCAACAAGATTAATATAGATGCTTCCTTCATCCCATTTTCAAAGGGATGGCAAATGAAGAAAAAAAGTGGGATAGAGAAGGAACCTTTTATCAGAAAAAAAAAAAAAAACAACCTTTCTCCCTCTCTCCTCACTTCTTAAGAATTCTTTTAATACAAGTGCTCCTTCAGCCCTTGCTGCAGACACTTCTGTCTCTTCTAGTCAAGGGCTATGCCGTTTGCTTATTATTCACCGATAAGGGAAAAAACAGTGAATTTTTATCTCTTAGAGATAAACAGGACAGAGGAAAGCCACAGAGGGAGATGCAATCCATCACTGTGACGAAGACACAGCACCACCACACCAGGAGGACAGCATAGTATAGGGGTGGCCCAGACCCAGATCCCTCTTCCTCCATCACAGCACTAAATTCTGAGAGGAGATCAACAGTGGAGCACAGTGTGGGAGAATTCTCCAGCAACCCCCATGGTATGCTGAGGTCAGAAGCTCTTTCAGGAAGTAGACTCCCAGCATATAGAGGAAAGATCCCTTAACAAAAGGATGTTTTCAGATATAACCTTTCAGAATAGTTTCCTCAGTTTTCCAGCCAGCTGATGGTGCTTCTTCCAGCTCAGGGAAAGAGTTTCTGCTTTATCAGTCCTTCCTGTCGCCTTCCGCTCTGTCACCCCTGACACCGAGGTGACATTCACGTCAAATCCGAAGGTGTGCAAGTCACTGGAAACTCTGCCTGGAGCACAAACAGCCCCATCACCCTCAGCCCCTGCTGGTAGGGGACCAGGTACAGAGGGCATTCACAAGTTTCATTTTCCTCTATATCTGCTGGATGGAGATGTGTGACTGGAGAAGTTCTCAGCTGAATTAGGATAGTTTAAAAAGGTGGGGACTCATGGTGTAAAATGGGAAAATAGCTGCATAGACATGCACCACTGACTTCTGCTAGAAACATTAAGAAGCCCAAATCAGTTCTGCCTGGAACAAGGCTGGTCCACAGGCCAAGACTGCAATCACCCTTGTCTGGTGTGACATCTCATTTCTGAGCTGCTTCAGATCATCTTCACAGAGAACACATCTGTCTTTTTCACAGGAGACCAAGCAAGATACCAGCCCAAGAGATGACAAGTACTTGAGATTTGGTCTCCAGTTCTGGGCTGGAGGAAGTCAGTCTCCTTTAAATGCCACAAAACACAACTGAAGACTGAGCAAAAAGGAAGTAGGTTAGAACATGACCTGAATAAGGTCTCCAGGTTAACTCCACCATAGAAATGTGCCTTCAGGCTTCCTTTAATTCTGCCTTCCCAAATCCTGTGGAAAGCTTGAGGATGGACATCACAGGAGGCAAAGGCTGATACATTTACTGTCTCTTCCTCCAGCTATGTTGGTCTCCCTGGACATGCAGCTCTGCAGAATGAATAACCTTCCCAGTGTGAATTTAATGAAAGAGAAACTGATGGCCCTAGAGAACATGCCCTAATTGGCAACAAAAAAGGAACGATGTGGGCAGCCACATTGCCTTCTCCCACCCAGCAGAGCAGAACACAGGAGCTAGTGCAGCACACCCTTCACAGCCAGTTGCCTCCATGGCCTCAGAAAGGATATTGATGAGAAGGAATTCTAACATGGCTGTGTGTGACCGAAGCATCTGCTTATTAGAAGCCAGCAGCAGTGACTCATTTTCAAACAAACATGATTTCGGGTACTGTGTGAGCTCAGCTTCTAAGCCAACATTGTCTCTTGATCCAGCACAAGGAGGAGAAGGGGGTGGCCCATTGTCTGTCCCACAGCATAGGCAAGAAAATGCAAGGAAGAGAAACCAAGACAAAGATCCCTGCTGATCCGTTTGGCTTTTGCCTCGGTGTCTCCTGTGTTTTGGCAGGCAGTGATTCCTGCTGTAGGCTCCTGCCTGCACTCCTGAGGCAGCGAGGTGCCTGCCTAGCTGGCTGCTGTGCTCTGGAGAACAGAATTGGAGTCTGTTTCTTTATGAGAGACTTGTTGCCAGAAGCCAGAGAGTTCACATCTGACTCAGAACTTCCCCAAAGTTTGAGGACATGCAGATCATCTCTCCAACCCCCATCTCAAATCCACATCCAGTGCAATCTGGATTCTGTCCCAGCAAGTCAAGTCTTTTCGGAAATTAGGAAATTTGGGAAATCTTAACTCAGACTTAAACTAAGAACTAATGAACATCTCTCCAGATTGGTCCACTCAGCAGCCACTGGTTTCTAAGGGGTGTAAAGCACTAGCAGGAGACAAGACCATCATTGCTCTGTTACATTTGCCCTTTCTGTGCTCTTACCTTTGAGTAGGTTTTTCCGCCCTTCAGCTCCTATATTGGGAGACAAAACAAAACAGGAAAAGCAGCTATTATATCTGCTGGGGAAACAGGGGGAAAGTCATTACACAGTCCTGGAATCTGCTCTCAGCATTCATAAGCCTCTCTCTCTCGGGTTACCACCACCTTGGTCACTCCCATCCTCCATCAAGGACTCTTCTTGGAGAGAGAGGGGCTCTGTTCCAGCATATCCTGTCCCAAACAATCTTCCCTTCCCACCACAGTCCACACAATTTTTCTTGCTGCCAAAAAGCAGCCAGTAACCAACTTCCAGAACACTACTGGTGGTACTACCTGCCAGAAGCAAAGCTGGATGCTCACCTTACGGACAGACACTCGACAGATGCAGGGGTCCAGGAGTCCTGTGGCAGGGTTGGCACTCATTTTACACACAAAGGTGAATTTCTTTTTCCAGCGGACACAGTTTTCCTGAACTTCCTCTCTATGAGAATGATAAAAAAAAAAAATTCAAATAAAGGTACAAAGCTAAATTAAGACCAGCTCTTAAGTATTTTTTTTTTAATGATTGGCATCCTAGTCCATAAAGATCCTTTGCAACAACTCGGTTCACTGCACCACACAAAGGTGTTCAGTTAGCATCAAGCTTTTCACTAGTCAGTACAGGTAAAATCCACTCAGGTTACAGAAATACTAATCATCTCATCAACAGCATTTGCCTTTAAAACTCTCACAAGCTCTCTGACACTTCCTGCTCAGCTGGTTTAGCTGATTCACCGTCCAGCCTGCATGTAATAAATCTCCATACCTGAACTGGGCTGAAGGTTCACAAGCTTATCTTTCTCCAGCACGTCTGTTTGTACAGTCTCTGCACAGCAAACTGCTGTGTGTCCTGGATGGCCTGTCCTTCCCTGCTCCTCGGGCTGGGACTAAGCCAGTGAGGATGGAAGCTTGGAGGACAAAACATACGTGGAAAAGCTCCTGGTGCAAGCAGACAGGGCCACACCAAGCAAGCACCACGCTTCAAATCCTGCAGGGGCTCAGCCAGGGAAGAGGTGGTTTTGCTTGCACAGCTTCTGAGCAGACCATCCTGATCTCTAGGGCGAGTGGAGAAGCACATGGCTCTGGCATAGCCTGAGCCTGCAGGAGGAAGAGGAGAAGCCTTCCTGAATGCAGGAATCACTTCAGGTACAGCTCTGGCTTCTGCAAGGCCCTCAGGGAAAGCTGGATTTGACCTTTCCACGGAGGCTGGTTCAAAGGAGCCTGGAAACAAGGTGTGTGGGTCCTTCCACAGGGCTCTGGTGTCCTCCTGAGCCTCTGCAGGACCTGATCCATTTATGGCTCAGAGCTTGGCCCCCAGCCAAGTCAGCTCTCAAAGTAATGAGGCCGGGGTAGGAAGGGAAGGCACTGCTGACAGCTGTGAGCAAGCAAGTTTGACTCTTATCTCTCCTCCTAGCACAGGACAAAGGGGCAAGGGCAGCTGATAAACTGTTTGCTTTAGCAGGGAAAGGGAGGTTTCCCACCATCTGACCCAGGCATGGTGTAAGCCAAAGGGCTTGGTGGCAAAGGGGAGAATGATCAGCCCTGGTAGTGTCTCTTCTTCTGGGAAGAAGGAGAAGTTGTAGCTCACACTGCCATTATGGCAACCTCGAGGTGAGCCCACCAGGACAGATGCAGAAGGTCCCGGATAATCCTCCAAGACACTCTGTGGGACCAAATGTGCCAGCCAAGGCAGACACAGAGAACAGAAAAGGAGTAGCTGGCAAAAAACTGAAACCTGTAAATCTCTGTAATGTAGATAAAGGCTGATCATCCCTATTTAAAACAAGAGAAAACAGAAGGCAACAATTCCTTCAAAGTAAAGAACTTAAATCCCTTCCAGACAGAACTCAAGCTTGCTGTTGAAGTCAGTAAAAAGTGAGACATCTAAGTGCCAAAAATACCTTTGAATCTGAAATTATTAATTCAAGATGAGATCTGGTTCTCATTATTCCACTCAACTCACCCCATCTCTCTCAGACAAGGGGAAGAAACACATCCAGAGGGATTAAAAAGGTTTTGCCTGTAATAAAATATTGACCATGCCAGCCAAATTAGGCATGCTACATTTCAAATATGGGTGCCTTAAACCTGCCTCAACAATAAGCATCTTAAATGACCTAAAGGAAGGAAAAACTCAAGATACAGATGAGGAAAGGTATGCAACAGAATGGAAATCCACCTCTGAACATATGCTTCAGGAACACAAGGCAGGTACAGGGGGATACAGGAAACACTGAATATTTTAGCAGCATTAGTCACCTTTGGAAAGGAAGTGCTATTTTCTAGAAAGCAAGGCTAGTGCTAAAGCTACTACAGATACCAGAGCTCTAAGTGAATGCTGGAAGGCAGCTACAAGTGAAAGATATTCACTCAGACAGCAGCACAGTGCTGCACACCTTGTTCCCAGCCCTGATCAGAGCTCTGACTCCTGCCAGACCAGAGCATTCACGGGACTAAGCTCCAGCTCCCAGGGCACATGCCTGGCTCCCACAGCTGCACGATCATCAGGGGCATCAAGAGCTGCTCCAGCATGCGAGTTTCCTTACTCAGGAGTTCTTGCTCCTTTTACAATGCAGCCATGATTAAGCATCTGCTGGATGCTGCTAAGTCCAATGAAGGCTAATTGCTTCAAAATGTGGTAAAAAGTACTGATTAGCAATAAAGAGCTCCATAGCTAATTTGCCTTTAGCATAAGCTCCTCTAACAGACATTCTGCTTCTTATTAAGGATGTACCTTGGCTTTCCAAAACTGCTGTAGATGCCACACAGTGCAAGGGATTAGGAAAAGGATTTGGGGGTGTTATGTTACCCACAGCACTGTGATCATGGATCTGAGCTGCAGGTGCACACATAGCTTGGGGTTTTGGAACAGTCTGCATAGGGCAAGAAGTTTATAAGACAAAATCCAGAGCTGCTTTCCAGTCACAAGTTTCACAATCATTCAATAATGAATTTCAACCTTTTTTGGTTTTTTTACTTTAACGGGTGGGGGCTGGGTCTGTATCATTAGACAAGCAAGCAACAGCTCTATTGTTTCAAACAAACTCTAAAAAATTAGTTCCACATTTCCAAACGATGGCATGTGGAAAAGCAATGGGCTTTGCCTGTCCACCTCCCTTCGAGCTATCGTTAGGCTGGTAATTAGAGAACACTAAAACAGGGACAAAAAAAAAAGGAGAACTCAGAGGATGAGCAGTTTTGTATTTAGCCTGGAATATTCTCTGATGTACAATTAGGAACCATCATACAGAAACAAAAAACACCCAAGGAGCATGGTGAGGGCTGCACTGAGTTCTCTTTTGTTCTAATCACAAGGCAACTAAAAGTAAAGCAGAAATGAACAGCTTCAAACCAGAAGTGTCTAATTTAAAATTTTACTCTGTATTTGGAGAACCAGAAATAGTTCACACCAATGCCAGGTCTAGGTGCCAATTCAACGGGTCTTCAGAAGTCTTATTTTAAAAAAAGCTGTCTGTATCATTTTGCAAAAAGACTCCCAGAAGGTTGAATCCCTGCCAAGCTAAGCTTTGCCCTCTTCTGACTTCAGACTTATTCAAAGCTGTGTAATTACTCTTTCCAGACCTAAATATATTTCCTCAGAATAAACCAGTGCAATCCTGTGGCAGTTTTTGTGAAAAGTGCAGTTTTGGAAAGAGTTTTGTGAGGTCGTCTAATCCTGGAGCTGCTCATCTACCTCCAGGAACAGTTTTCTGCATCCCTCATCCTACCCCTTGAGAGAAGATTTACCTAAAAACCAGCAGCTGGAAGATGCTTCACCATAGGATGGTGAGAATTCAAGTAATGGGAACGATGCACAGCGGGGACTCACTGCTTTACCTGCTTTTGGAGAGGCAGCAGTGAACTCAGGGAAGCCTCCAAGGCCACTTTGGGTTGAGATCTCACACCCAGCTCTGAAGACAGGCAGAAAAACACACAACAAACAGACCTTAAAGAAGAGATGTTTCCCAACTGTGATTTAAGTGCCATGGACAGACTAGCACTGTTACAGAAAGCTGCAAGGCTCACTCTCAATTCAAGCTGGTAAATCAAACACTTCTAGAAAAAGGCCACATACACGACCCATGCTATCTTGGGCTACTGTGAACCTCTCTCCCACATGAAAACCCAGCTAATGAAACACTAGAGCAGAGATTAAAACTTCTATTTACAGACTCAGAGCTGAGTTGTGGGTATCAACCTTCCAACACATCACCCGCTGAAACACTTCTGCCTTGTTGAAGCATTCAGAAAAGCAGATGTTTCACTCTTGCTTTATGGCAATTGTCACACATAAGACAGTGTCATAAAAAGGCCACAACATTACTGGAAGGGCTGCAGCAACAAAAAATAGCTTTTAATGCCAAACGTTTCACTAGAGCAGTGTGTCTGATGTTTCATGCATGAGGCAAACGTGGGAAAACCTCAGGCTAAATGGGACAGTATAGAGATAAGCACACACAAAGAGCTGCTTATTCAGATTTAGTCCTCCTCCTCACACAGAGGGGAAGGGTAAGCTTTCCTATTTCTGATGCTCAGTCCACATGCTCACTGTCCCCCCTCTGAGATGTGGATCTGTGTCAGAGCCTTCAAGCAGAACTAATCCCCCTCTCAGCAGACCCAGTCCTCTGCACCCTCCTCGCTGGTTCACCACTGCAGCAGGAGCAGCAGCATCTTATCTGATAGTGCACAGGAGAGATAATACCATTTTAAAGAGGCTGCCAAGCCAACACCCACCATAGATTCTTTTAAGTACAATGAAAAACAGCCCTTCAAGGGGCCCTGACACATATCAGCAGTGGGCCTTTTGGGGAGTAAGAGAACACCCCTGCAATGCAGGTACGATCCCCTCAATCACAGAGGGGGGATAAAGAAACAAAAAAATCACATTATTTCAGCAGATTGCACCTGAAAGGCATTAATCTGCAGAGACACAGTTAAAACAGTCCCATCTAATCCTCAGCCCTTCCAAAGGCTGAACTAGAACAGAATCACTGACAATTCTATGGCCTTGCAAAGCCTGGAACAATCCTGCATTTTGCTCCAGAGAAGACAGTTACTATTTTAACCAGGTTATCTAGTGCAAAGCTGTAGGAGAGACCTTTGGTAAGGGCAAGGAAAAAACCCCTGAAAAGCCTGTTTCAAAACTGACTTTTTAAGATGCTCAGGAACCAGTATTCACACTCCAGCGTTCACAGCACAATAAATATATCCCATCCTACTAACACAGCAGGTACTGCTACAAATAATGCCTAATCACTGCCTATAAAACACAGGAATTACAAAAGTGGGTGAACATACATATGTAATACAAAGCAAGCCCTCATTTAACCATTAGCTGGTTTAGATTTACAACCCAGAACCTGCAGGTATCTCCAAATAAAGGGGTTAGGACAGGGCACTTCACGGCAGTACGTACATCATTAAAGAAAAATGCAGCTCTGA